TTTATTTATTTATTTTTTAAAGTGCTGGAGATCAAACCTGGGTTCTTATACTCACTAAGCAAATGTTCTACCACATAGCTACATCCCCAGCTCAGCTATACCAAAGAAAATTTTTTTTTTAGATTGGGGATTCAACACAAGACATTTGCATTGAGCTACATCTCAGCTTTATTTATTTATTTATGAGACAGGGTCTTGCTAAGTCACCTAGTCACCCAGCCTGGGCTTGAACTTGTCATCTTCCTGTTTAGCCTCTTAGAGTCTTGTGATTACCAGCATGTGCCACCATGTCTGGTTTATAAAATTTTTTTAGTGTTCCAAAATGCTTTGAAATTGATATTTAACACATTAAAAATTTAAAAGCAAGAAATTTTTAAAAACTTGCTAATTCATTAAATAGAATAAACCCAATAGGCATTCACATAATTTATATATTTTATGAAAAAAACTTTTCAAAAGCAATTCACGCAAAGAATGGCACTGTTTTGCATCTTTACAACTCTTTAATTTTTGGCTTAAGAAAAAACAGCTGGATATTTCTATCTGATTTTTCATTCAATCTTTTGTGTGATATGTTGTTTTGTCAAAGTCCACAGAGGACATCCAGACTCTCACAGATACATAAGACAGTTGGGAAGGGAGGAATACTGTAACAGCTTTCCTAGATCATTGTAGGTATTTTCCTTTGATACTGCACCCAAACCCAATAGATGGAAGTTTCATAAAGATTAGTTCCAATCTGAAACCAGAACCATGAACTTTTTATTTTCTATACATTTGTGAGAGAATATAGCTGGGTGTTTTATAACAATGAGACAAATAGTTTTGATTTCAATGGGTCCCGAAGGACACTGAGGACTGCCCAGAGATCTGTGGACCATGCTTAGAGAACTGCTCTTCCAGACCAATACTGCCCATTGCCATGAAGACCGGCAGGGGGCAGCATGCAGACTGCAGCTAACTGACCCACCAGCATCCAAGGCAATAAATGACCTTAACCATGCTGACTTCTGTCCCACAGGCACACCAGCCACCTGCTGTTCCAGGCTGGACCTGTCGTTTCACAGTAGGCTACCTCAGGAAAGAGACCTGTGCAGCTTCGAGCCCCAAAGAGCCAGGGATGGAGACCCATGGACAGGCCTAGTGCTGGCCACAGTCACCAATGGCTCCCTCTGATGTCACCTCAAGACCTTCTCCCAAAGACGCCGACACACAGATGGGATACAAATTGATATGTTCATCCAACAACTGTAAACGTGTGCTGCATCTCTCCATCCTTTGGTGCACTGTGGTCTTCTGGTTTTTTAATTTTGTTTTGAAATTCCTATTATCTTGTGAATATTACAGTCACGTGGTGTGGGTGTGAAATGTGTTACTCTGTTCAAAGTAAGCATTTCACATATATTACAATTCTGGCTGCCCTGGTTTAAAATTTTTTTCCTCTCTCTTTTTCTCTGATAAATGGACCCCCATCAGAGTGGAGAGGTCTTGATTCTGGATAAACCAGGTGTCCAGGAAGCTCACAGGAAGTGCAGCTCCTGCCCCAACCTGCAAGCGGCGCCATTGTCTGAGCCACTGTGCCAAGGACAACCATACTTGGGCCTTCTTGCCCATTCTCCTTGTGGCTGAACACAGTAAGGGTAGAGGCAACCCCTCTGCTCTGCTAGGCACCCCACAGAAGCAGGGGCACTACAGGGGGAAGCAAGCCAGGGATCCTCAGTACTAACAGGAAGATCCCACTTCTGCAAAAGTTTCTCAGTCAAAAGACCATGGTGCTGTGGGGGGAGAGAGGAGGAAGAAAAAGAGGCCTGACTCAGCTACTGAAACCATTATCTTTGTGATGGAGGGGATGGGTGTGGTGCCCAGCAGAAGGCAGCCTTGAACACAGGTGGAAAATGCTCCTCACAGCCCCAAAACAGTCACCTCCAAATGCATCTCTAGGGAATTAATCTCCTGTCCCTTTTGGGTTACTTCCTAGTGGGGGCACAGTTCTGGGCTCACTGGCAAAGGAACCCCAAAATGATGTTAACCTGTCCTCTGATCCACTGGGGACAGAGGTTTATGCCTTTAAAACAGTCTTTTAATTTTAACTAAAATGTTTTCAATCTGTGGCTACCCACCCATAGGCTATTCTATTCTTCCTAAATGTAGTCATTGTTCTCTCTATTGGAAAAACGGGGAGAGAGAGGTTAAGAGGATGACAAAAGCCCACAGCTAACCATGCCTAGATGTCTACCAGCCTTCAGGCCAGTGCTTCTTCACTTCACCTTCTGCCATAAGCATGGCGGGCATTGGAGAGGGGTGTGCGGCAGTGAGCAAGGTGCAAAAACAAGACCAGTGCACGTCTAACTTTTGTTTAAACTCACTAGAAGTCCGGCGATGAGTCAGTGATCTTCTTGGGGCCTTTCTTTCCTCTTCGGTACTTGAGGTAGACAGGTTGGAATGACTGTCCTCTGTAATTCCAGACCCTAATTCTGACTGGCTGACTTGCATGAGGGAGGCAAGGGAGGTAGGCTGGGGGCTGGAGAATGATCCTGGGCAGGAGGTCCTGGGCTGCCCCAGCCTGGGAGCTGGGCACTGAGCCCCTGCCCCAACCTAGTCCACAGGGGGTGAAGGAGGAGGGTGCAGCTAATGTGTCTTCCACCTCCCCCATTCCTCTTACTGCTGGAGATTCAGGGGAGAGAAGCCCACACCATCCAATTCTACAGAGAGATCAAGGGACATGAAAAATGTCATCTCCCTGGTCTGGGGCCATGGCATTGGCTTGGCAGCTTCATCTCAGATGGCAAGTTTGTGGCTGAGCACAAACACAAGGATGGCTCTGAGCGAAAAGTCAGAAATGAGAATGCAGGAGAATTCAGGCCCGGACTCTAGGACTGCTGTGCCCTCCCTGGACTGAGGCTGGCACCTTGGAAAGCACAGCTGTCCTCCCACAGAGCAACCTTGGGACAGATGGGGGAGAGGAAGGGCAATTCAGAGGCACATTTTTGGAAACTGCCAATGAAGCCAGCTTAGATTCTCCAAACCTCTTCAGCCTGAGCTGGATGCCAGCTCCCTAACTTGGCAGTGGATGAGGGCCTTGCCAAACAATCCCTGCCCCTGGCTCCCAGTCCTCCCTTTGCCTGGAAGTCCTCTGCCATGCTGTGTGCTCACCAAACTCAGCTCACCTCCTGGACTCTGCTCCTTGAGGAAGGCCTTGAGCACAGGGTAGGGCATACAGTCCCTACCCTCTTAAGACTTGCACCCTTAAAACTTCTAAGTAGTAATATCATGTGCATTTAATGTGTTATGTCCTTTTATTAATGGGGCTATTTAACTTATGAGGAAATAAAACAGGAGCTTATTGAGAAAAGGTGGGTGAAAAGCAGGGAGGTGAACTGGTGGGTTCAGAGGGAAGGATGGAACTGGGCTGCAGGGAGGCAGGATGTGAGAAGAGGAGGCTGGCTGGGTAGAGCTCTGGTCACCTCCTCTGTAAAACAAGGAGAGGTGGCACCAGGGTCTCTGAGATCCTCCTAGCTGTGATAGGAAAGAGACTAGAGAAACAAGGTGCATGCGTGTGTGCATATGTGTTCAATGAACATAGACCAAGGATAAACATAGGCCAAGGATGCTGCTTGGGCAGACCCGGGAACCAGCCCAGAGGTCATCTTATTGATGTGACATTTCCGTCTCCTCTTTCTCCTAAGCTGCAGTGGAGGCTACATCTTCCTCTCTCCATCCCCAGAGCCCAGCACAGGGCCTGCTGCAAAGTAGGTGCATAATGCTAAAACGAACTGCATTTCCTCTGAGAGATGGCTTTTCCCAGAGGAGCAGGAATACAGAAAACAAACGAGCAAAAGCTGCAAAGAGCAGACAAGGCGGAGCGGGAGCGGGAGCGGGGGTGGGGAGGTGGGGGACAGGATGGCTCC